GTCGTGGTAGAGTTACTGTTTATGTAACTCATGACTCATCTTCTCACGACCAACTTGATTACCATGTGTGAATATTAATATTTGTATTAATATTTCTCTGACGTCGATGTCCTGCTTATAGAATTTTTCTATTCGGATTTTCAAAGTTTTCAACCACTGTGCACCGTGTTGCCTTGTTTTCACTCAAACCATAATCATAACGTTTTTTTGATTTACCCCTTATGCTGATTGTCAAGAATATAGTCGGTAGTCAGGTACAAGCAATTTATTGCCCTCTGAGGTGCCTTTGTCCAGCAGCATGGCCGCAAATGATGGCGGCATTCTTTAATGATCACACCAGATGTACAGTTCTGTTCCCTGTTGTTCGCAAGTATAATCGACCTGCTACTCATTTTTCGGCAGTTTATATCGAAACAGGATCGAATGAATTTCTTGCTAAGCTGAATTAGTGATTAGTAAGAGGAATGTGTATCTCGCCAGTTTTAAACTTTAAAGCAGACTTCTGTGCTACCTTCCGCCCCTAATTTCATGAAAATTAGTATTCCGTAAAATATGCCAGCGCGTTGTTTTGCAGTTCGTTAATTCATATCTTTTAATAATTTTTCCGTTGTTTGCTCTCATAGTTCAGTTGCACTTTATAAATGATGGTAGGGCAGAATGTACCACTTGGCTTTATCATTTACAGTCGTATGGTTTTAAGATTGCCTCTACCATGAGGTGGTTACTGATAGTTGTTTTACTGTTTTCTCATTCGGTTGCGGTGAGACACTTTGATATGGCTGTAATACCATACTAAGTAAATCTTTATAAGAAATAAATCAGCAGCAATATCTGTCTGGATTTTCTGTACCAGTATTTCTTGAAACTCGCTGTCAGCACCGAGTGATCCGTAAAACCTCTGGACTTTGTTAATGATGGGAATTGTTATGAATATGTCCGGTGGACTTTTCTCGTACATTCGCTATCATTGTTACTGTTGTTGATACTGTTTATCGTTGCGATCTGAGGTTCAGTAAGTTTCCCTCGTTGTCAGCAGATCTTTTCAGATACTTTTAAATCGATATTGTTTTTTTACCCCAGCGGTCAACCAGCTGTTCAGTATTCGATATAGTTGCCTCGCTTTCCGCCCTACTAAAGATTCAGGTTTGTTGCCTGTCGTCGTCCAACAGCAGCCAATCGTATCTTATATCTTATAAAAGGTCCCTAAGGACCGAAGTTTTTTCACATTGGGACACATCGTCTCTCATTGTGATACTATCTTGTCTATGATAGTATCTCAAATTGTTTGCTTTACTTGACTGCTGTGAAAAGAAAACAGGTGAGCACTAGCTTATGTATGTCGAAAATGCTGAAAACTTGTACAAGACTATTTGTTTTGAGTTCTTTCGACGATCCTACCCTCAACCGTGGATATGAGTGCCGGAATTTGTTCTGAGGGATGGGATCCCTGATGCAGTGGTCAGAAATTAGGTTTCTTCTGAGAACTGATAATTGACGAAGCATGGCGAAATTCTGAGGATGAATCTGTCTAAAAGGTTCTTCCTTGTTTCCTATCACGACTGATGCTGTGGAGACTTTTGCCATGATCCTCAGACGCAGTTCTAGGCTTAGGTGACGCAGCTTTATCGAATGCATGGGTTCATGTGGTACCTCAGAATCTGATTCATAGAGCCTGCTCGATTACTGAAAGACCAGAGCTCTTGAAAAGTGTCCTTTGGCAGTTATATCTTCGAGACTAAAGGAATAACGAAATATGATAGTAGGTATGATGTCAGTGCCCAAGTTTTACACTGAAGAATAAAATATATTAAATATGAAGCGTCCTGAAACCTAAAACAAAATTTTCGTTAACGGCATGACAATAATTTGAAAAATATGTAATTTTTTGGGCGTACCACTTTAAAAATGCAACTAATGACTAGAATAGCCCAAATGAATGATGAAGGCAAAATGGATAACTTGTGCACTGCGTCGTGTAAAGAGATGTGAAAGAAGTTGATGGTAGAGTACAGTGTTTAGGCGATAATACGAATAGCGAGTAAGGGAGGTGGAAAGAATAAGCAGAAAGTTGTAAAACGATAAATTCACCTAACACGACGATAGACGAAGGAGGATCAAGAACTACTAATTACAGTCGGATGAATGCGACATGCACAGAAGTCTACCACAACCTGTATCGTTCCAAAGTAAGTGTAAATCGGAAGTTGCTACACGCTGCCTCAGGAGCTGTTCCAGAAGTCACCTAGGACGAAGTTTAGTGGACAGTCAGAAGCATCACAAATGGCAAATGTCAAAATCAGGACGATATGGCATCAGAAAACCTTAGACCAATGGTAACAATAATGTTTAAGGTCCTTGTAAACATTTACAACATGCACTGGGCAGAAGAAAACGACTTGGATGTGGAAGACATAAAAACAATTCATCTCGTGAATGTTAGAGAGGAGA